TTCTCCTGTGAAAGGCTCTCTACCACCAGCATATCTAAATACAAGTCCCCGCCACTCCCTATCCTCTTATCTGGATTTATTCATCTTCACAGCATGTATCACTACCTGACATTCTATTATGTGGTTTATTTATGGTCTGTTTGCCATGATAGACTGTAAGCTCCATGAGGGCAGGGATTTTTTCTTCTCCTGTTTATCACTTTAATCTCCAGCATGTTGAAACCTCTTGGCACAGAGTAGGTGCTCACTAATTATTTGTTGGAAGACTGAATATATTCTCTAATGAGGCTCCTTCATTTGAGGAAGTTGAGGCTCAGAGAGGCTCATGATCTCTTATCCAGTAGAGGCAGAGCTGGTACACACCAGTGTACTATGTCTCAACATTAACTCTCTCTAAATTATTTCTTTTTAAATAGTTGTTGCAATTTGTCAGATGATATTTACCAAGCCTGTAAGGGAGGCTGAAAGAATACAATGTTTTGCCTATGTGTAGCTTCACAGTTAGTGAAATTAGTGGTACGTTAATAACAGTAGCAATAATAATTAATATGCAATTGGGCCTATTTATGTTTATCCTACTCATTGACAATTATTCTGTGCTTAGAGGTTTAGATTCTCCTGTCCTAAGGAAAGAAAAATGCATTTCGTATCATCAGGAGTGATGCACACACAGAGAATACCAAACCTCTCAGTTCTCTGTATTTATTCAGTTCTCAGTATTTACTATATCCAATAATTTTTCCATTCCCATCAGTTAAATACATGTTCTTTCCTTACCTTCCAGAATACTGAGCTCCACCTGTTAGGTGATCTCTGGATCTGGAAATCATCCTCATACTCCCAGATCGAGGAGGTACAGTCCTCGTAAAACTGGTGCAGGTAGGACCGGACTCCGTAGCGCTGGTACCCAGCCTCGGTAGCAGCCTGTGCCTGCCTGGACCCACAGACGTTGCTGCAAGAACTCATCCTTCCTGGCTGGAATGACAACATCCACATGGATCAGCCTCATGGGCTGTGGCCTCACACCAAAAGGCATATTAAAGGTGAGGAGAACCAGGCTGAGTAATGTCAGCCAATTTGAAGAATGCTCTTTTCTTAAGAGATAAAGACACTTTTGTTGGTGGTGTTTTTTCTTGTTTGGTGGCTGGCTGGTACAGGGATGAGAACCCATGACCTTGGTGTTATAAGGCTGTGCTCTAGCCAACTAAGCTAACAGGCCAGCGCAATATAAAGACACTTTGAAAGACCTGTCTTTCTGATATGCTGCTCTTCTTTTCTGTTTAATGCCAAATTACCCCAAATATTCCATGCTAGAACTGATTCTCTGTAAATGAAATGAGACACACCAGCACAGCTCAGTTAAATTATGCAAAAATTTAAGCATGAGGAACATGAGAAATGGCAACAAAGAAGTTGAGATTTTCATTGCCTTGACAAGACATCTTTAATGTCTTAGAATCCAGTAGTCTTTACACTTACATGTGAAAGAATTAGGCAGGCACTTTCATTCACTACAGATGGAATTTGCCTTGGACCATCCTCTCTGATTTTTAACCGTGTTTCTTTGTGGAATCTATCTGATGTCAGTCTTAGCAGTTTTTAATTTTGCCTTTAGATCTCATGTATCTTCCTCTAACATTTTAACTCATTGTCAAGTTGTACAGAGCTTTATTAAAAAGCTACTGAGCAACTTATGCTTCATGCTTTCTTAATTACAAATGGCTTGGCCAAGCATTTATGTCTTACTGAACTCCAGTGCCATATATTCAGCCATTATTTGTGGATACATTTGTCCATGTGGGTGACTGGAGAATAATGTGGAGAGTAGACACAGACTTTTATTACTTTCCATAAAGAATCTAGAATAAATAAGATTCAGAGTTTCATAGATGAAACTATGCCCTGGGTGGGCTACTTGGGACTCTGCTTTTTTAAGATAGATATCTCAACTTGATTTA